TGCACAAAGTATTCTATGAGCGTAATTTGTAGTGCTTCATGAGAGTGGGTGGAGCTAAAGTCCTTGTGCCGACTTCGCTTGCTCTCTCTGATCTGAGCATCATCGATAATACCATTGTTCTGCATGAATTCTCGCTTTTTCGCAAAAAGCCAAAAACATGGTTTTACAGTCGTCAGCATCTTAAATCTTCTAAGTTTTTTTGATATTTTGATTTGTAGCATATAAAGCTAAACTTTGTATTATATCATCCTTGCATCAAATTATAAAAAAAAAGTTTAAGCTATGTGAGGTTCTCTAATGCGCACTTGTGTTTACGCAAATATGATGAGTTTGCTGCTGACAAACTTGAAAATTAAAATTTTCTTTTAGAAGTTTAAATGAAGGTTAATGTGAACAGATTGGTTGAGCGAAAGCATATGCAATATATTTAACCTAAGAGCTTACAACAGACTTTTATTCGTAAGTTGGTCAGTTACTGCTAAAAGTCAATTACCTATTTTTAAACATATAGTGCAATTGGAGCATTAGAAAGCGAGGCAGTGGCGCAGTAGGTAGTGCTGTCACCTCACAGCAAGAAGGTTGCTGGGTCGCTGGTTCAAACCTTGACTCAGTTGGCATTTCTGTGTGGAGTTTGCATGTTCTCCCTGCCTTCGCGTGGGTTTCCTCCGGATGCTCCGGTTTCCCCCACAGTCCAAAGACATGCAGTACAGGTGAATTGGGTAGGCTAAATTGTCCGTAATGTATGAGTGTTTGTGTGTGAATGTTTCCCAGAGATGGGTTGTGGCTGGAAGGACATCCGCTGCGTAAAAGCTTGCTGGATAAGTTGGCGGTTCATTCTACTGTGGCGACCCCGGATTAATAAAGGGACTAAGCCGACAAGAAAATGAATGAATGAATGGAGCATTAGAAACAACATCTTTGGGGTTGTTCATGTCAAAGTTCATGCCAAAGTCATAAGCCAACATTGGGACGAATATGGACAAATCCAAACATTAGGTTTAAAAATGTCATTTAAATTTTATTTAATAAACAAATAACCCAAAAATAGGTTTGTCCATATTTAAACTCAATGTTGGGCTATGGCAACCCAGCATTTTATATATATATATATATATATATATATATATATATTTATTTATTTATTTTTTTTTTGAAAGCAGTTTTTAAGATTACAGGATTTCCCCTTTAACATAAATAGCTGCATTGCAAATATGGCCACAAAGTGAACAGATTTTCCTTTTTAATCATGCACACTTGCATCTAGAGACCATTTCAATAGTGAACTTAAGGTGTGGTGTGTTCTGATGTCAGGGGTCAGTACAATCCAATCCACACTCATAGGCAAAATACTATGATTTCTGAACAACTCTGAGAGTGAATCAGGATGATTTAAAGGCTCCCCCATTCAATGGAGGCAGGAATATAACGTAATCTCAAGGAAACGCAGCTGTACTTGCATTTGCTAATGAATACCATACTGACCCTCAAGTGCCTCTATTGTCCGTAATGCTTAAAGCCAGGTACAAACAACTCAGTGCGAGAACAGATGCGATTACAAAATTAGCTCTTTCATAATCAGATTCCGGAGGCTCAATCTGATGTAAAAGGCTTAATGAGTGAACGTTTTTATTTGTACACAACAGAAACTTGTGTGAGCATGTGATAATATTCACATCCGCTGTAAGATAAGTGGACACAAATGATCAGCTTCTGATATTTTTGCAAAACACATTATCTATTTGAGAAAGTGGGTAATGCTTGAAAGTGGGACAAAATAGGGGGGTAAATTAAATTAACCAGAAGGGGAACAGAAGGATTGTATCACTTATTATTTTTGTCTGAGATCCTTTTACCTCAAATGCCAGACATATTAAATTAGTATTGACTAGGTGGTGGTTAGTTTGTGAACGAATCTTTGAAACATTTTTGAATCTTTGAAATCGTTCTTGTTCAGCTCCCTTCAATGATTCATTTTTCACTTCAATGTTGGTTGTGGAAAATAAATTACAGGATGGATTTGGGCATCTTAGGAACAAAAAAAAAAAAAAACTAAATCATTAATGAGAATGCATACAAAAAAAATAATCTTTCTTTTATTGTGAAGATTTTACTCCAACCAGGGCTGCACGATATTGGAAAAATCTGACATTGCGATGCTTTTTTTAAATCTATATTTCGATATGAATACAATTTCACCAGATGACTTAACTTTATTTGGAAAGTCATTTATTTAGATTGATCGGGATGATTTTGTAGGGGGAGGGAATCATGGATAGGTCTATTTATTATTTTATATAAACATGCGTTTTGGATTATTAATTATTTTCCTATAATAAACAAACTACAGTCATAAATAAACACAATGGAGCACCAATTAAGTGACAATTTGTGGTTTCTGGGGAGTTTATCAGCGTTGAGGTAAATTATTTGAACAATTAAATGTAAAATAACAGTGATTAGGTCTTCATCATTAAAAAAATCCAATAAAAATAATCTTTTTTAGTTACAAACCGTACAATTTCTTGTGCCTGAATGCTTTAAACCAGTGGTTCTCAAACTGTGGTACATGTACCACTAGTGGTACGCAGGCTTCCTTCTAGTGGTACGCAGAGGAATGAAATATGTCATGTACATACTACACACATTTAAAAATTTATCAGAAATTATGTATATAATATGCCGTATATGACATATAGCCTATATTTCTGAGGTAATCTGCCATGTTTTTTAACTGTGCAGAGTTGTTGAAACTTGTATTATTGTCGGCTAACGTTAGTGAAAGAGTCGTTCGGGGGATTCATTCACAAACGAATTGCTCCTCCGTCAGTATGAGAAGTGAAAGCAGGAGAGGAGGTGTGTTTCAGGACACGGATTATATTAAATTTAACAGGGAGGGTGAAAAGTACATTTCGGTACACACAAACACAAGCTTCTTGTCAGGAATGCCCGTGCGGTCACTGATCCATCAATGTAGAAAAGTGATGTAAAATTATAATTTTCGTAATTAGAAACAAAAAAAGAATTACACACTAACATCCAGGAAAACTCCTGATCATAGATATATGTGTATATGTGTATATCTCTGGCTTTGGATGGCCACAGTCCTCCACTGTACCTTGGTCCCGCATTCATTTCAAAGGAGCGCTACCCTGTAGCAAGATGGCGGCGCTATTGACGCATTCCGTCCAATAGACAACAATAGGCCAGGCGACATCTAATGTATATCTATGGGAATCATCTGCAGCAGACCTTAAAGCTCAACACTTTTATTCCACTATCATCCTTTAAAAATTAAATCCAGTTAATAGTACAAGATAACAGTGCTTGTTTTTAGTTTTTTTTTTTATATATATATTATTATCTGCATTAGTGAAATTGTTATTGTATTGTGTCACTGCTGCTTAGTATCTACGTTTTATGTTGCCTCTTGGCCAGGTCGTCATTGTAAATGAGAACTGGTTCTCAAATGACTCACCTGGTTAAATAAAGGTTATTAAATTTGGTTTTGAAAATAATCAAGCATAGGTCTATTTATTATTTTATATAAATATATATTTGATATTATCTATTATATAAAAATCAAAACCTACAGTCATAAATAAACACAACGGAGCAAAGATTAAGTGACATCATTTGTGGTTTTCTGGGGAGCCTAACAGTTTTCAGGTAAATTAATTGAAGAATTAAATGTAAAATAACAATAAATAGGTCTTCATCATTTAAATTACAAAAAAATAATCTTTATTAGTTACAAACCGTACAATTTCTTGTGCCTGAATGCTTTAAACGATCTTAAAAACCCTCACACAGTTTCAGGAATGAATAAAGATGCACACAAATGACAAACTTTCAACATATTATGGTTAAATTCTGCAGTGGCTCTACAAATCTCTTCTGGTCAATTATAATCCCAACTCAACATTGCATATTCTCCGATGTGACTATTGTGAACATACACATTGTGATATCAATGCTGAATCAATATATTCTGCAGCCCTATCTCCAACTGCATTGATTTTAATAGCTGAATGAATAAATCCCCAAATTATTCACAGAAATGCTTCACTCTGCTCATTTGAGAAGTAACTGAATTGATTATTATAACTAAAATATAACTTAAATTATTACATTTGGTTTTAAAACCAGCGCAATCTGCATCAGTTCATTCAGAATCGCTCACTTAAACGATTCATTCAAACTCCGACTCGTTCACACACAATAAACAATGATTCTATTATATGAGAATGACCTCAAATGCACTTTAAACATAGACCCTATTCGGTTATTTAAGGTAAAAAGCACACAATCTGGATCAAAATGACCGTAAGCTGATATAAAACAGGAGGTAAAATCTAATTATCCAGATGTACAATAGAAGAATCATTTGTCTTCCTTTATGTCTGACAAAGCAGCCTGTCACTTTAAGAAAGCGACTCACTAGGATCGAATCGTTATCTTAGTTTCTCCAAATGATCCCAAACTAACATAAATAACACAAACTAAAATGCAAATTCATCTCGACTTTTACATATATCAATATCCTCACAGCAAAGTAATAATAAGATAATGTTCCTCTCTCGCCGACTGAGCCCACCAAAGGGTGGAGACTATAACGTTACAGCAAATGTCATAGCAACGTCTTCCAAATCATAGGCTAACCGCACAAAAATGCTGTGCTAAACATATAAACCTTCCTATATTCAACATTTAAGTCATGTTAAACTATTTCCCATGAAAACAAAGCGTGTTTAGTTGTGAACGATGCTAAGTTTACATTCATGTTGATGTTAATAGACTCCAAAAACATTGAAGATAACATTAACGCGAATATCTTATAAGCTTATTAGGACAATTGAATTCAGATACGCGTGTAAAGTAGCATAACTACAGCACTGTCAACACTATAAGGGTACATTAATTTCCTCCACATGACACACAGCAGAAACCCAGCGTATACTGTAACAGTTAACAGCCACATAATAAATGATTTAAAGACTGACCTGTTGCGTCCTGTCTGACGGATTCACCATCACCGCCTGCCGAAAACTGTTATCCACATAGGACGCCATGCTCCTGGATAATCCACAGCCGATCTCTCACGCAAGTGGTTTGTTTATGAAGGGGGCACAAACCCAGTTTTTATTTCTCGGAAGCTGCAGAGAGAGCTTGTCTTGTCCCCAGGCCACAGCCTGAGCCAGGAGCTTTCTTAATGTCCCTCGACCCGATCCCACAGGCACCAGACCGGCTGCTTTTTCCTCTTCCAGCCGCTGGAGCTTCTCCAACCGGACGCTGAGAGGAGATTTTTAAGCAGTGAGTTTTAGCTCTGTTTTACGCAGACGAGTGCATTTCTCAGCATTCCGTTTGTCCCCTGTTCGCTATTCCATCTTCAGTTTTCCATCCTAAAACAATGTCCATTGCACGCGCTTTGGCGAGTGTCCATTTTAAGTGATTTCCAAAGCAGCGGAGAGTGAAAAGCAGCATTTATACTGAGTGTTTCAGTGTCTAGAAGCGACGGATGGTCTGCTGTCTGTCTGGGCTTGCTGTTGTAAAAGCCGCCGCCACCACCATGGTGACCGACCGAGCGCCTCAAGAGGTTCATGGGCGAGTCCATTCAGCACAATGCTTGTAATGCGCCCTCAGTGCGCTTTACTCACAACACGTGGAGTTTTGGCGACATCCGCTGGACGATGGTGGAATTGCAGCTTTGAAGAAAAGGTTATACTGTATTATTGCTCAATGGTTAGCTCTGTCGCCTGACAGCAAGAATGACGCTGGTTCAAGTCCCAGTTGGCATTTCTGTGTGGAGTTAGCATGTTCTCGCTGTGCTGGTGTGGGTTTCCTTCGGGAGCTCCGGTTTCAGTTCAAAGACATGCGCTATAGGTGAATTGAATAAACTAAATTGGCCAAATTGTATGGGTATGAATGAGTGTGTATGGATGTTTCCCAGTGATGGGTTGCAGCTGGAAGGTGTTTACACACTGTGTAAAACATATGCCGAATAAGGTGGTACATTCTGCTCTGGCCACCCTTGATGAATAAATTGACTAAGCCCAAGGAAAATGAATGAATGTTGCTTTTACAGTCGTCCTGAATAAAGATCATTATTATTGTTATGTCTCAGAACGGTTAAACCAGTCCTGTTTAAAACTCAATGTAAACAAAACAGTTGCAATGTACCTTTCTAAAACAAACATAGCAAATAATCTAACAGATGTCGACGTGGCTGGGGACAAAATATATCAGGGCTCAACAATAAGGACTGCCCGATGGCCCGGGGCCAGCTTGAGAGACACTCAGGACAGTAGACAAGATCATTAATCAGGGGCTGCCACAGTGGAATGAACCACCAATTTATCCAGCATATGTTTTACACAGCCGTTCTAACTGCAACCCAGTACGGGGAAACACCATACATACTCATTCACACATACACTATGGCAAATTTAGTTTATTCAATTCCCCTATAGCGCATCTCTTTGGACTGTGGGGGAAACCCACGCCAACACAGGGAAAACATGCAAACTCCACACAGAAATGCCAGCTGAACCAGCTGGGACTCGAACCAGTGACTTCTTGCTGTGAGGCGACAGTGCTAACCACTGAGCCACCGTGTCGCCCCATGTGTAAACATATCATTTTTAATTTTGCAATCTTGCATCTCCAAACACACACAAACCAGGGACTGGTGATGGACAGTTTGAAATTTGTGTGTTTTTTCAACATAAGTTCTTTGATATAATGGATGTATGTAGGCTATGTGTTTCTATGTTTGTTTTTTTATTTGTTTCACCATGCCAATAGTAATTTAATTATATATTGGTGTAAGATTTATAACTATGCTTCATTTAATGCATGTTTTAAATTATGCACTGAATAAACAGCGTGGACTGATTTCAGCGGTGCTTATACCTTTTAATAAATAATCCATAAGCCTATAAATGTAATGCATCCCAACTAAACACTGATTCCATGGAGACAAAACACTCATGGCGGTTCATGAGAGAGAGAGAGAGAGAGAGAGAGAGAGAAGGAGAGAGAGAGAGAGAGAGAGAGAGAGAGAGAGAGAGAGAGAGAGATGACCTCCTGCCCAGAGCTTGTATTACAGTCCACTGAGATGCATAAGGACATCTCAACTCTTTTAAACATAGAAATGAGTGTGATGAAGAGGGTTAAACTGGATAGCACATCTTCTGAAGCGGACAGAGAAACTGGACAGAGAATCCTCTTCACAGGTGAGTCTTTCTGAACATAAACACCAAGTAATTTTGTGTAGAAAAGACATCTAATAAATGTCTAAACACAGCCAGCTTGGCTTAAACGAGGCTAAATTTAGACTGTCAGTGAAAATCTAATTGACGTCTTAAAATTAAAGAACATGTCAATTAAAACAAAAATTTAGACTTGTAGATTTAGACTTTTTTCAAAACTGCTACTCTCTGATGATTTGAAGTACTTATTGTATCCTCACTTGTAAGTCACTTTGGATGAAAGCATTTGCTAAATGTAAAACTGGACTATTAAGACACAGATTTGACAGACTTCACATGTGTTGTTATTTTTTCCTGGGTATTTAGCTTAGTATTAGTTTAGAGCTGTTCCTATTTCTGACAATCCAAACGTAGCCAGGTTTTAGACAAGCCGTCTATGTTTCGATGTATATTAGGCATCAACTAGACTTGGACTTGGTCAGCCGTTTTGAATGTTATCACTCAATTGAATGGGCATCATCAGTGATAAATATGGGCCAGTGGGGGCCTTCTGCGCCTACTAGTTAGCTCAGAAGGCTGTTAATACCCATACACATGGTTAATCAGCTATTGAGGTAACGAGAATTATTTATATTATTTATTAAATTTCCCATTGATTGTATTTTATGAACGCCTATCTCAGGGGTCACCAATCCTGGTCCTGGAGGGCCGGTGTCCCTGCAGGGTTTAGCTCCAACTTGCCTCAACACACCTGCCTGGATGTTTCAAGTACACCTAGTAAGACCTTGATTAGCTTGTTCAGGTGTGTTTGATTAGGGTTGGAGCTAAAATCTGCAGGTCACCAGCCCTCCAGGAACAAGTTTGGTGACCACTGGTCTATCCCAACCCTAAATAATAATTCACGCAAAAGACTCAATGTACACATGCGTAGCCAAATTCACGTGCCTAAAATATTTATTTATATTCACAAAAAAATTTCACGTGCACAAAATAAAAATACATTTTCATAAAATACGTTTCACAAATGCAAAACACCATTTGCAAATGTATAAGAGTGTACAAAAAGTTTTGAATGTTAAAAACTTGCGAGTTTATCCTAAATGAGAATGTGCAAATCCTCTTTCACGTACGACTCCCCCTGGATACGTGTGTGTGTGTATTTTTGAGACTCTCCTGCCAGAAGCAGTGCAACTCGTACCTTTCAGCCAATCAGATGAGAGGTGTAGTCGATGACACCCACTCTGCGTTCCATTTGCGCAGACTGTTCCTCTCCAGCATGGCGAACAGAGAAAGCAGCAGTCGCAGTCGCACTTTTTTCATTTATTTACTTATTTGACCATAGCCTCACTCTTTTAATTCATTATTTTGCCGCAGCTCTGCTCTTCTTATTTATTATCTCTCAGCCCCATGAGCAAACTGTAGCCTGCAGGGTCATGATGAGGATTAAGTATCATTCCGGCCCCACAGGAGTAGCAGCGCTATTTTTTTGTGAATATAAATAAATATTTTACGCACGTGAATTTGATTTTATGCATGTGAATTTGGCTACGCATGTGTACATCATGTCTTTTGCGTGAATTTCTTTTGAGACTTATCTGATTCCATAGGCCACAGCTCTGCAGAGTTTAGCTCCAACCACCTCCAACTCACACTTACTTCAGAGTCTCTAGTAGTCTTGTAAACACTTTGACTAGTTGGATCAGCTGTGGTTGATTAAGGTTGGAGCACAACTGCAGAGCTGCGGCCCTCCAGGAACCCAGTTTTAGACCTTTGGTATAGGGGGTGATTTTGTATACAGCCTCTTTCTTCATCATGATCTGTTTTGATGCTGTTAAGGTCCAGATGGTGTTGGAGATTTCCGTCCTAGACTGGACTTTTTTCCCCGCAGCATCGGGATTGGCTCTTTATCTCCGGATGCCACAAGTGATCTGGGTTTCCTCTTCCGGGCTGCACCGCATGCACCTCCGCCGTTACCCAAACACAGGCACACCGGAGAGCTAGGCTGGGGCCTGCAGTTCTCCACTGTCCTCAACAGACCCACTGACATCTACTGCAGACAATATGAGGTTGTTAGACTTATAGATACATTGTTATACCAACACAATTCGTAACTTTTTGATTTAGTGGCTAAGTTGTAGGAATTTGTATGATCTCATTCGTACAGTTTAGTGCGATTTGCTCATCCTCCAGTGAAGGTTGAGTTTGAAGGTGGGGTTGGGTGCCACGCCTCCTATTTAAAATCCTACATTTTGTTCGACTGAATTCGAATTCATACAAATTAGCCACTAAACTGAGACTTCCTCGTGAGATCAGGCTGGTTATATTGTCTTTCTGTGTGGGCTAGTGACTGCAGAAAAAATACTTAAAATATTAGTTTACAGAAAAGTATAATGGCGATGCAGTGGCGCAGTAGGTGGTGCTGTCGCCTCAATGCAAGAAGGTCGCTGGTTTGAGCCTCGGCTGGGTCAGTTGGCGTTTCTGTGTGGAGTTTGCATGTTCTTCCTGTGTCCATGTGGTTTTCCTCCAGGTGCTCCGGTTTCCCCCACAGTCCAAAGACATGCGGTACAGGTGAATTGGGTAGACTAAATTGTCCGTAATGTATGAGAGTGAATGAGTGTGTATGGATGTTTCCCAAAGATGGGTTGCAGCTGGAAGGGCATCCGCTGCGTAAAAACATATGCTGAACAAGTTGGCGGTTCATTCCGCTGTGGCAACTTTATATAATGTAGATTCTGTCAAAAAAAAACATCTTTTTTGCAATCTCCGGAGCCTCTGTGAACAAAACCAGGACCCCTTCTGCTCTCTCCCACCTTGACAAACCACCTGTAGAAAACACACTCTTTGATCACTATTACACTTTCACCAAGTTTGCACATTTGCACCAGACACTTTCTTATAATCACTCCATATCTTTAAAAAAAAAACATTGAATTGAATGAAGTGTGCTTCACACGGGTGAGTGGGCTTGACAAACCACCTGTAGAAACACTCTTCTCTTTCTATACAAAACCCCTTAAGCCTGGTTTATACTTCTGCGTCAAGTGATCGGTGTGACCCATGGCACATGTAATGCGTGTAGCCGTGCATTTATACTTCTGCACGCTGTTTGTGTTGCTCTGCAACAACACTTCCGAAACGCTAGTTGGCAGTAGGTGTTTATGTTCCTCTGTGTTGAATTTCTTTACTGGTGCTTTGTTTTTTCTGAACGCTACCTTAATGTACAAACTCGCTAATTTTGAGACGGGAATCGGCGGACGTGCAACAGCTTTAATTATAAGGTAAGCACAAGACAGCAGTTTCCATCTGGAGCTCATTCACGGGACTCCACACTTGTAAACAATCGCTCCATCGGGCTCGCAAAGCCCTCACCTCCGCCTACATTCGTCAGCGCTACTAAGTCGACCAATCACAGAGCTTGTATAATAATAAGTCTGTAAAATAAACTATTAAAAGTGCTAATGATTGTGATAGTAAGTGTTGTATTGTCGTCTTTCATGTCGTAACGCAGCTTTAATGTGCTTTTTAAATAAATAAATAAAAAACATATCAGCTCCTTGCAATCGTGACAGCAATAAGATCCAATGGCCCGCCGACCGCTTTTACTCCAAAAGGGCGAAATCGCAGGGCTGTTGCTGGCGCTGCAGTTTCAATGGAACGTTTTATTGAGTGTCGCCTTTAGGTCATTCTAAGCGCTTTGAGCTTTCTTAGGCCCCGTTTACACTAATGCGTTTTCGTTTTAAAACGCATAAGTTTTGCTACGGTTACGCCATCCGTCCACACTACGCTGTAGTTCTCGAGCGCCGAAAATGGAGCGTTTTGAAAACGCTGGCGAGGCCGTTTTCATTCTGAAACGCTGCTGCTCCGTCTCAGTGTGGATGAGGAAAAACGGAGACATCTGAAAACGGAGGCGGGACTGCTGAGATTCGCTACCTGATTGGGGCTTTTGTGTCATTGCCTTCGTCACTGTATCCTTCCCTCATTCGTCAAGCCTCTATCACATGACTATAACACATGGCTTTAACGCTATCAGAAGACAATACTGTAAACAACAACATGGGCACAGAAATAGGAGCGTTGTTTGCAATATTGTCTGTTTTAGGCGCCATTGTGCAGTTATTCATTTGTTACGTTAAGTAACAACTCGACCTCGTCTGTCCACAGAAATACCTCTCTTGCTTTCTTTGCCATCGCGTTTAATGTTCAACCGGCTTTTGTTGACTAACAATAACCAAATGCAGAGGGAGACACGTGCTTTCTGTTTATACTACAATGCACATGCCCAGAGTGCTCGAATGGTCACGTGATATACGTTTTTGGTGACGTAGTGTGGACGGAGATATGTTCAGAGACGCTAGGTAAAACGTTAGTGTGGATGCGGATCGTTTTTTATCTAAAATGCCATTTTAAAACTAAAACTTACTAGTGTAAACGGGGCCTTATTGGTCGTTATACTTTTCTCCATTCAAAACTTTATGCGTGACACGTCTTGTGTATTCTATGGTCTTTGATACTACTTAGGCTATATACATAGTTAGCATACACTTTAATAGCTGGGTTGTTTTTTAAGGCAACATTGGGTAAAATATGAACAAACCCATGCACTGTGTTAAAAAGTGTCAATCATTCATTCGGTTTTTTTTTCAGCTTAGGGGTCGCCACAGCGAAATGAACCGCCAACCAATTTTTCATTTCTTGTCGGCTTAGTCCCTTTATTAATCCAGGGTCACCACAGCGGAATGAACCACCAACTTTCCTTTTTCAATTAAGTTGATCAACGAGCAAGCAAGGAAGGATGGTCAAAGACTAAGATAACAGGATTGGTTTGCACAACAGAGGGCAGTGGGGCATATGGTACTTTAATCATTTTTTATTTTTTTATAAAAATTTTATTAAAATTACTGATTTTATGGAATCATATTTATATTAGGAGGTATTTTAGGATTAGATTTTAATGTGTATGTATGTTACATGTTGTCTTGTTGGTGTCGATGTACAGCAGAACCTTTTTTCTAAAACAAATTTCTCCTACGGGAGACAATAAATTTTACCTTGACCTTATCCAGCAAGTTTTTACGCAGCGGATGCCTTTCCAGCCGCAACCCATCTCTGGGAAACATCCACACACACATTCATACTCTACAAACAATTTAGCCTATCGAATTTACCTGTACCGCATATCTTCGGGCTGTGGGGCAAACTGGAGCACCCGGAGGAAACCCTCTTGAACGCAGGGAGAACATGCAAACTCCACACAGAAACACCAACTGAGCCGAGGCTCGAACCAGCGACCCAGCGTCCTTCTAGCTGTGAGGCGACACTGCTTTGCTCTGAACCGCCAACCATTCCAGCATATGTTTTAGACAGCAAATGCACTTCCAGCTGCAACCCAGTACTGGGAAACATCTATACACACTATTCACACACACACACACACACACACACACACACACACACTACACCTATAGTGCATGTCTTTGGACTGTGGGGGAAACCGGAGCACCAGAAGGAATCCCACACCAGCATGGGGAGAACATGCAAACTCCACACACAAATGCCAACTCCCCCAGCCGGGACTCAAACCAGCAACCTTCTTGCTGTGAGGTGATAGTGCTAACCACAGAGCCACTGTTTTGATTAAAAACACTCATTTAATTGATAAACTGTACTCAATATTGGGATTGTTAAAAAAACGTTCTGCTCAGCTTGACAGATTTGTGTCAGCCGTGGACGGAGTCTTGAGCTTAACACACACTGTTGGTAACCACAGAGGCCAGGCTTGTGTTTCCTCCAGTCCCCCATTACCGCTGATGGGTTTCAGAAAACAGCTCGAGTGCATGGAGAGGAAGCTTTTTCTCTTCTACTGATCAATAATTCATTGCTTGCACACAGGTTCGCTCAGGCCCGAATCCAGGACAAGCAGCAGAGCGTCAAGAGGAACCACAGCACACATGATCCCTACAGCGAGAACCACAACAAACACTTCCAGCTTAACAAGGTGAGAGATAAACAAAAGAGACGCTCCAGAAGCATCCTCACTGCTGGATCCACAAATGATTATATGGAGAATAAGCTGTCGGATTATTCATGACTGTCTCGTGACGTTTGTCTTTGTTCTTCTCTTCTTTCTGCAGAAAAGCACAACCGGACACCAGTATACTTTTTTCACATGACACAAGTCAAATGTTTGTTCAGTGCTGCTTGTTTGTGCTCTTAAATTCACTGTTATGTCTATAAAAATGTCTAATAAAAATGACATTTAATGCATGATGTTTTTGGTTAAATTTGCTGTTAAAAAATAATGAATGTTAAAAATAAAGCTGCATGAAAAAGGGTTTTCGTCGAGGCCATAGACTGAAGAACATTTTAGTGAATGTTTCTACAAATTATACATGTATTTTATGGTGGGAAGAACAATCATTCATTTTCCATCAGCTAAGTCGCTTTATTACAGTTTTTCCCAGTCGCTTTGGTGCGTTTCTCACAACACTAGTGTATTTCTGCACAACAGTTAATGCATTTCTCAAAACAATTAGTACAAACTGCAAAACCTAGCTGAAACCTGCAAAAGCGCGACACATGCTCAAAATAGATAGTTCATTCATCAAAAGCAAGTATTGATGTCAATCAAAGTGTCAGTGTCATCAAAATATAAAGTCCTGACACCATTGTTTATGATCAAGATAGTCAAATGGCTGTCATGTTTTCATTATGAATTTACTCAGGACATTTTTTCAATGCAAACAAGTCAGATTTTGGTGACACTTCCTGAAAATGCTCAAGACAGCACTTTAAACTATTTGCACAGCCATTTGAACACTACAGTAAAGTTAGACATCACTGCATTTAGTGAGGTATCTGAGTACAAGACACTGAATATGTATGTTTCACATTTTTACTGCATTTGTTCTTTGCAATCCTAATTTATTCACAGCATTGTGCAAAAGAACAAACACACCCTTATTTACAACAAACATAAACTCCCTTTGGGTAGAGCTGTGCACAACTGTACACAATATTGCAGTACATATTGGACCTGAACCTGCAACATACACAGGTCTGTAAATCATCCATGAAATTGTTTAATTGTAAAGACATTTTCAGAAAAATAAAGATTTAAAAAAAATTTCATAAAGTTTGCTTGACCATTTTTGACATCAAGTTCGACATTTTTGTATGTAATGTAATTTTTGTCAAGTAATGAAATGAGGACTGTTAGTTTTATATGGAGTGACTATTCAGCATTTACAAGTTTAGTTCATTTTGACTGACATGACATAAGCAAATGATAATGTTATAAATAGCAGAGAGTTGAATGAAAGCAATTGATGCATGTCTGAAAGCATTTGCAATTTGTTGAAAGAATGAGAAACTGCTACTAGGATGTGCACAAATGACTAATTGTTTTGAGAAATGCATTAACTGTTGTGCAAATGTAAATAAGGTTGTGAGAAATGCACCAAAGCGACTGAGAAAAACTGTAATCAGGGGTCGCCACAGCAGAATGAACCACCAACTTATCCAGCATATGTTTTACACAGTGGATGCCCTTCCAGCCACAACCCAGTACTGGGAAACACCCATACACTCTCATTCGCGCACACACACACACACGCACACGCATACACACAAACACACACACACGCACACTCAAACACTACTGGCAATTTAGTTTATTCAATTCACCTATAGGCGACGCTGTGGCGCAGTAGGTAGTGCTGTCACCACACAGCAAGAAGGTCGCTGGTTCGAACCTCAGCTTGGCTCAGCTCAGTTTACGTTTCTGTGTGGAGTTTGCATGTTCTCTTTGGTTTCGCGTGGGTTTCCTCCGGGTGTTCAGGTTTCCCCCACAGTCCAAAGACATGCGGTACAGGTGAATTGGGTAGGCTAAATTGTCCGTAGTGTAGTGTGTGTATGAATGAGTGTGTGGATGTTTGCCAGAGATGGGTAGCGGCTGGAAGGGCAGTAAAAACGTGCTGGATAAGTTGGTGGTTCATTCTGCTGTGGCGACCCCGGATTAATAAAGGGACTAAGCCGACAAGAAAATGAATGAATGAATTCACCTAAAGTGCATGTGTTTGGGCTGTGGGAGAAACCGGAGCACCTGGAGGAAACCTATACGGGGAGAACATGCAAACTTCACACTGGAATGCAACTATCTATCTATCGATCTGAAATGGAACTGACCCAACTGGGACTCAAACCAGTGATTTTCTTGCTGAGAGGTGATAGTGCTGACCACTGAGCCACCGTCGTGTTGCCATGGGAACTATTTTAATCTAATAATTTAATCTATTTTTTTCCAAAAGAATCTTTTGTGGGATGTTTCCTAAACCATTAATATTCACTTTCTTGTAAGAGTGTATTTCCTTTTTTTATGTTAGATACAGAAATCAGAAGTGTCTTGTAATTATATTAATTAGATTCCCCTGTATTATTTGTGAATACTTGCAGATTTATTAAATGTATTTCCATATTAATCGAACTGGATACAAAAGAAAAAAGAAAGAAAGAAAGAAAGAAAGAAAGCAGTTGTCTATCTATGCTGCTGTTTACCATATATATGTTGTATACAATAAATTTTTATTACATCTATCTATCCATCCATCCACCCATTCATCCAACTACTCAGTGGCTCTTCAGTTTCAGATCGCACCCACCCCTCCCCCCTTCACGATCTTCAGTTTCAGATCGCTTCCCTATTCCCCCCATGGCCCCATCACCCAAGGGGGCCCCCCGCATTTTGCGCAACGCCACTGCATCTACCCATCCATCAATCAATCAATCTATCCATTCATCCATCCATATATCCATCCATCCATCCATCCAATTAATCAATCCATTCATCCATTCATCCATTCATCCATCCATCCATCCATCCATCTATCTATCTATCTATCTATCTATCTATCTATCTATCTATCTATCTATCTATCTATCTATCTATCTATCTATCTATCTATCTATCTATCTATCTATCCATCCACCCATCTAACCACCCATCTATCAATCCATCCATCCATCCATCATCAATCAATCAATCAATCAATCAATCAATCAATCAATCAATCAATCAATCAATCAATCAATCAATCAATCAATCAATCAATCAATCAATCAATCAATCCACGCAACCACCGATACACCCACCCACCCATCCATCCATCCATCCATCCATCCATCCATCCATCCATCCATCCACTATCCGTCTTGCTATCCATCAAGCCATCCAATAATCTATCCATCCATGTAGATAGAGAGAGAGAGAGAGAGAGAGAGAGAGAGAGAGAGAGAAATAATAGCATTCAATATTTTCCTATGGCTTAGTCCCTTTATTCATCAGGGGTCGCCACAGCGGAATGAACCATCAACTTATCCAGCATCAGTTTTACGCAGCACATGCCCTTCCAGCAGCAACCCAGTACTGGGAAACACACAAATTCACACTCATACACTACGGCCAATTTAGTTTATTCAGTTCTCCTATAACGCATGTGTTTGGACTGTGGGGGGAAACTGGAGTACCCGGAGGAAACCCACACCAACACGGACTCCACAAAAAAATGCCAACTGACCCAGATAGGAATTGAACCAGCGACCTTCTTGTTTCTTGCTAACCACTGAGCCACCATGCCACCCGCTAATTATATCATTAACAAAATTTCAAATTCATTAATGTATATTTACTAATATGAAACCTAATTTTAGCGTATTGGTGACTGAAATATGCTTGTATGATATTACCAATATTAGAAACTCCTACGCAAAAAATATGTATGTAAAAATATGAAAACCCTACGCAAAAAATATGTATGTATTTTTTTAATTACTAGATATATAGTATAATTGTATTTTGTTTATACTTACCCTCTGGCGTGTATATTTTTGTAAAATGTTTTATGTTGTTCTTTAAACGCTCCAAAAAACCCTATTTCCACGAGTCTCCACAGCACTAGGAGGCGCTACATGCTCACGTATGCTTCAGTTACAACAAGTAATACTCTTTCTTTCAGAATATTCCAGTCAGCCGTCCATTCAGTGCAGGACTCTTTCCCCATCAAAATCTAAGAAAATGTCAAACCCAACTCCCGAAGCCAAGCCTGGAAACGCAGAAAACCCCCGGGTGTTCTTTGACGTAGAAATCGGTGCTGAACGAGGTCAGGATGTGTTGTTTTTCTTCAGACAGAAGCTGAATGACTGCATGCTGCTGCCACATGCTGGAGCTACTCAAACACACACAGACAGAGGGAAATACACTACATTAAACTCAAACAGAAACAGTATTAGGTAGAAAAACTGCGTTAAGTTTCATATTAAGGCAGTGAACGGTGTTATTGAGCGATTTCTGTGGCACGAGCTAGTGCGTTGTGCTATAAAGGGACAGTTCACCCCAAAAATAAAAATTCACTCGTCACTTACTCAACCTCAAGTGATTCCAAACCTTTATGAGTTTCCTTATTCTGCCAAACACAAAAGAAGATGTTTTGAAGAATGTTGGAAACCGGTAACCATTGTCAGCCATTGTAGCTAAAACAAACACTATCGTAGTCAATGGTTACCTTTTGTGAAGGGTGATTAAAAGGATGGCAGAATTTTTATTTCATCCTGGTGACAAATTGACTCATTAAGATATACATTTTTTATATTATATTACATACAATTGCATGTTTGCAGGGGTGAATCGAGATGTTTTTGAGTTATTTCTAAATGGTGTTAACCAACATGTTTCATTACTCTACCATCAGAAGATAGTTGACCTAGAATTAATAAAGTTTTAATACATTATATTGTATATTTAGCATTTTTAATTGTTGTTAAATGTAAAGCAAATAAATAATACAGATTTCATTACAAATATAAGTCAAAAAGACACGTTTTAAAGCATCAAAACATTAAAAATCTACTTCAGCTTCCATTCAGGTAAAGTTAGTGCGTTGTGCTATAAAAGAACAGTTCACCCCAAAAATAAAAATTCACTCGTCACTTACTCAACCTCAAGTGATTCCAAACCTTTATGAGTTTCCTTATTCTGCCAAACACAAAAGAAGATGTTTTGAAGAATGTTGGAAACCGGTAACCATTGTCAGCCATTGTAGCTAAAACAAACACTATCGTAGTCAATGGTTACCTTTTGTGAAGGGTGATTAAAAGGATGGCAGAATTTTTATTTCATCCTGGTGACAAATTGACTCATTAAGATATACATTTTTTATATTATATTACATACAATTGCATGTTTGCAGGGGTGAATCGAGATGTTTTTGA